GTGCCTGAGTGACCGAGCCCCAGGCCGAGAGGCCGGGGGCACCCCACCTCCGAAGTGGCCCGAGCGAGCCCCAGGCTCCAGGCCCCGATAAGCGGCCGCCAAGGAGTGAGCCGGTGTGTACCTGGACGCCCACCCCCAGACACAAAGAACCACCAACGCACTGACGTCTGAGGGAGTCACACTCTGCGATTGTGTCTGTGAATCCACTGTGAGCTCTCCCTGCTGTCCTCCCTTTGTCCCTCCCCTCCCCACTTTGTGTTGTGTCATGTATAATAAACCACCCTTGCATCTCAGTAAGTGCTGCATCCTGGGTCTCACTCATTCCGCCACGCGACTGCTGCCCCAGCCGTGACATGTTTATTGCAGTATAATGCTGTAAAATTATGGCTCAGTTCTCTGGGCTTCGGTTGAGCCTTTTTTCAGACTAAGATTGTTTTCAGTGGAGATTGATCTGTCACTTTAGGAACGGGCTTAAACCATGTCTGGGAAACACGTCGTAAATGATGGGTTGTTCGGGCCTCTTCGTGCTCAGTCAGATCTGGAATATTGGAAGCAGATCCGATCGTGCAAAAGGTTTGATCACACGAGTATCTGAAAAATGTTCCTCAAATATTTTTTGTGGGGCGATGTCCTGCTGATGGAGGTAGCTGCTGTTGGGCCTGTTCTTCTGCAGGAGGATATGGTTGAACATCTAATCACCACTTTCATCAGTGGTCCTCATGCTGAGCTTACACAGACAGAACAACAAACAACAAACTGTGAAAAAAATGGAAAATACCAAAAATAATGTAAATCTTCTTGGCCATGAATTTTTATTAGAAAATAAACTAAAACTTTTCATCAGTAGAAGCTAAACTACAAAAGATATCTGACTAAGCATTCAAATACACATAAACAGCACATTCAGCTACAGTGTGAGAGAAGCTACCTCATCCACAGTGAAATTCATGCTAGCATTGATGATTCTGTAATCATCCGTAAAGTGTTTGGATAGTAGGGGTGCAACGATACACAAAATTCACGGTTCGATATTTTTTTCGATACAAAAAATGTTCATGCCTTTTTAATTTGTCATTTATTAAAATTATAAATATATATTTTAACTCAAAAGTACAGTTTTTAAATGTAATGTTGCTGAAACAACAAAGTAATAAATAATAAATCTATCTGATGGAGGAATCCCTCATCTTTGGAAAAGAGAGTTTATTACAGAGAAATGGCTCTTTCAAAATAAAAGCTATACTATACGCTTCTTCTGGGCTATATTCTCAGCAGCATATTAAACATATCAGGTCCCCATAAGGAGAATCCTGTGCTAACGGCTGTCTAAATGACTCGGGTAAAGTTTGTAGCATGCTGCTT